TCTCTTTATCTTTAATAGTATTGGTAATATTAGCCATTTCCTTATAAGGAAACATTGAGTTTTCATTGACAGAACAGCCAGTGATATTTTCAGTGAAATTTATAAGATCTTTATATTAAAACAGTTTTTATAGAAAATAGGTTTCTCAAGTCCATTAACTGTTCCAGTACTAGTGGGAGTTTCCTTCCTAACCTTTTGTTTGAAGTGGCCTGGAACATCAACATTTTGCATCAGCGATTATTTTCCCTTTGTGTTACAGAGTTGCGATCCATTTTAATTGTTAGGAAGGAAACCATTCACCATCAATGCTAGAAAGAGTGATAACAGCTAGTGGACTGCAGAGGTCTAATTTCTCGAAAAAGTGTTTTTAAGTGAAAGATTTTATTAATTTCAACTGACAGTAAAGTTTAGCCAATGGATGCCTGTTTCCATATAAGGAAACAGCTAATCTAACCATTTGTCAGAAGCCTTGAAAAAAGTGTTCCTATTAATTGGTATATTCTTCTTCTATGTACCAATTCCCTTAAGGACATAGCTGATCATGGCTCTCCACATTTTCCTGTCCTTTATAGTTTTTAATAAATTTCATCTTTTTGCTATCTCTCTTAAACCTTGTTCTGCCATCCATTTACTCAAGATCTCTAGATAGATTATGTGTTGTTTTCTTCTGGTCCTGTGGCCTCCAATTTATCCTTTGAGTATCACATTTTCCAAGCCCTCTTTCCTCATTATGTGTTCTAGTAATTTCAACTGTTTCTTTCTGATTCTAAATATAAATGCCCTTTTAGTTTCCATTTTTTTTAAAACTTCACCGTTTCTAACAAGTTTGGTTCATAGTATTCCCAGCAAACTTCGGTAGAACCACATCTCTGTACTTTTAAGTCTCTTCTTCATCTGTACTCTTTTCTTTGTTACTAACAAAATTTTCTACTTTTTAATACTTTGCTAAGCTTTTGAAAGATACTACCTGTCCCCTGTTAAAACATTTACCAGATATTTAAATTGTTGTACTTGTTTGATTTTGGTATCTCCAATTTGTAATTAGAATGTTAGACTGTTTTTTTTGCTAAGAACTATGAATTCTATCTTCTTGCAATTGATGGTTAGCCCTTTCTTCTTGCTTTCCTTTACTACCTTCTGTAGGTGTTCTTGCAGTTTCCTTTGTGTGTCTGCTTTCAACACTATGTCATGTTGCTAATGTTGTGGCTGCTAATAATGAGTCCTGGTAGGACTCTTAATTCTCTCAAAATCACCACACTGTCAAGACTAAATAAGTCAGGTGAGAAGATACATCCTTGTCTTACAACCCTTTCAATATTTGTATATTTACTGAATTCATTTTCTCTCAGTATGCAGAAGGATTTCTGCCAATATAGGATTATATGCTTTTCAAATATGTCAAAGCTTGAGGTCATCTTAATAATATTCCTCATTCTTTTTAGATACCTTTTTGCCAATTGATTGTTCAGGTTTCAAGATAAATTTTTAGAATTGCTGGCTGCTCAGTCAAGGAACACTGAATGTTTCCTTATAAGGAAATGGCTAATATTACCATAAAATTGGATAGTTCCCCTTTAGTCAAATTGGGATATTATACATATCTTTTTATTTATATCTTCCAAATCCCCTACACTCCACTACCACAAAAGTCAAGGTTGGAATATTATTTCTGTTATGAGGGATACAAATAAATGTAACAGGAAAACTGCTGATAACAAAAACACAAAAAGAATGGGTAGAAACAAGCATCATCAAGCCAAAGACGTGTTTTGCATTCTCCGCATCTTACCATTATTCCTTGTTTTATTGGGTCAAGCGGAATATTACCAGAGGAATTCAAAAGAGAAAAAGAACAACAGCGTGCAAACAGTAAATCCTTGCAATTAGTCAGGGTTGATTTTGAAAATGATGTGGAATTTAGCCCAGACAATTAGAGTGGCTCACCATCACTTCTACCACCATGGGGGCCATTGTGATTGACCAACATCTGACCAACCCATACACACGTTTGCTGGTTTAGAATGAAGCATGAAGGGTACTCTTAGTTAGGAGGAAGGATAATTGGTGTTCATCATTAACACTCGGGTCCTTCTTGTCTAATTAACTTTGAGAGGGGAGAAAGAATTTTATGAGCTGTAAGAGGGCAAATATTAGGAAAAGCTAAGGCAGAAAGAGAAAGAAGAGGAGGAATACAAAAAAAAAGAAAGGACTGAAGGGTGTGTAGTAGAAAGAAGAGAGAGTGAGAGTTGGGGGTGGGTACAAAAAAGAGAAAATCAGAGTAAATAGAAATTAATGAAGAAGAAAAAGAAGAGAAGAAAGAAAAGGTCAAGAGTAGAAGTAAGTGGAAAATAGAGGAAAAGAAAATTCAAGGGCATTTTTGATGAAAAGAAAGATGAGAAGAGAGTAAATAAGAAGAAAATGTGTCTTTGATGTAAGGGAGTAAATGGGTAAGAAAGAATGAAAGAAAGAAAGAAAGAAAGGAAGAAAGAAAGAAAGAAAGAAAGAAAGAAAGGAAAATGATAAAAAGGAAGAGATACGGTGGAAGGAGAAATGACAAGGAGAAGAAGGAAAAAAAGAAAGAAGAGAAGTAAGGGATTAATGGGGGGGGTGAAGTAATTGTAAGAAATAAATGGAAATAAGAAGAAGAAAAAGGGAATGAAGAAAAATGAGGAGGAATGAGAAAGTGAAGAAAAAAGTAAAATGATGATGATGATGATGATGATGATGATGATGATGATGATGATGATGACGATGAAAAACTGAGGAGGTAAGAGTAAAAGTACTTATAAGAAAGAAAATGAAATGAAAGAAAAAGAGAATGATGATAAAAAGGAAATGAGGAGAAAGCGTGAAAAAAGAAATTAAGAAGAGGAAAGAGAAAGAGAAAATGAAAGCCACAGAAGATGGAGAAAGAAATAAGAGAAAAAAAATAGGAAGGAAGCAGGAGAAAGAGAGAGAAGGAAATGAAGGAAAAAAAAAACAATATGAGGAAGGAAGAAAGAGAAAGAGGATAAAAAGAAAGAAGAAAGAGAAAAAGTGGGAAAAGAGAATGGAGAAAGAGAAAATAAGTTATAAAAGAAAAAGAAAGAAATGAAGTGTGGATGGAAGCAGGAGAATGAGTAAAAAAAGATAACGGAAGGAGAAAGAGAAAATAGGTTATAGTAGAAAAGGTAAGAAATGAAGGAAATCAGAAAATATGGGATGATGAAAAAAGCAGGAGAAAGAGTTATAAAAAGCCATCAGAAGATGAAAGTGAAATATCTTATAGAAAAAAGAGAAAGAATTGAAAGAAATAAAAACATTGGAATTGATGAAGGATGCTGAAGAAAAAGTGGCAAAAAAAAGGCGAACAAAAAAAGAGAAAGTTAAAAATAATTCATTGTAAAAAAAGAGAATGGAAATAAGTATAAATAATGGAAATCTCGTGAGAGATCATCAGAAAATCTGAAAAATAAAAGCAACATCAGAATAAAAAAATGGATAGAAATCATTAAAAATAAGTATTTTGATGAAGGAAATAAAGAAGAAAATTCAAGGAGAAATGAAGATTGATTAAAAAATGGCTGTGAAGAAGAATTTAATCTATGTTTTGTGTGGCAGTGAAATAAAAGAATTGAGTGGCAAATGTGTGGAAAGGAAAAAAAAGAAAGAAAAAGTAAAAATAAAAATTCTTCCTTTCTTTTTTCTTATTTTTCTTTCATTCTGAGAGTTCTTGTTTCTTTCCTTATTTCTTTCCACTTTCAAAATTTTTTCTACTTTTTAACTTTCACAAGTCATTCAATTACTTTTTTGTTCTCCTCTTTTCCTCCTTTTTTTCTTTTCCTCTATTTTTTTTCTTTCTTTCTTTCTTCTCCTTTTTAATTTTCAACATTAGATTTCTTTCTTTCTTTTTTCTTTTCCTCTATTTCTTTTTTTTTCTTTCTTCTCCTTTTTAATTTTCAACATTTAATTTCTTTCTTTCTTTTTTTCGTTTCCTCTATTTCTTTTTTCTTTCTTTCTTCTCCTTTTTAATTTTCAACATTAGATTTCTTTCTTTCTTTTTTTTTTTTCCTCTATTTCTTTTTTTTCTTTCTTTCTTCTCCTTTTTTAATTTTCAACATTTAATTTCTTTCTTTCTTTTTTTCGTTTCCTCTATTTCTTTTTTCTTTCTTTCTTCTCCTTTTTAATTTTCAACATTAGATTTCTTTCTTTCTTTTTTCTTTTCCTCTATTTCTTTTTCTTTCTTTCTTCTCCTTTTTAATTTTCAACATTTAATTTCTTTCTTTTTTTCTTTTCCTCTATTTCTTTTTTCTTTCTTTCTTTCTTTCTTTCTTTCTTTCTTTCTTCTCCTTTTTAATTTTCAACATTTAATTTCTTTCTTTTTTTTTCTTTTCCTCTATTTCTTTTTTCTTTTTTTCTTTCTTTCTTTCTTCTCCTTTTTAATTTTCAATATTTAATTTCTTTCTTTTTTTTTTCTTTTCCTCTATTTCTTTTTTCTTTTTTTCTTTCTTTCTTTCTTCTCCTTTTTAATTTTCAACATTTAATTTCTTTCTTTCTTTTTTTTCTTCTTATTTCTCCTCCTTCTATTTAAGGCTTATGGCTGCATCATATTGAAACACTGTTTTGATACAATTACTGTCATTAAGCAAAGTAGAGCCTTGTCAGTATCTAGATGGGTGACCACTTGGGAATACCAGGTACTGTAAGTTTGGCTGTGTCATTGGATAATGTCTTGGAATTGTTAATCAGGGAGAGCTCCAATTCCAGTTGGTTTTGTTATATTCACTTATGTGCAAATAGTCTTTCAGAGAAAGGTCTGAATTCAACACTTCTTCCCCCTGTTATGGGTTAATTAGTAAAACCTGTATCACTTAATCATTATTATCTTCCCCACCAAAATTCTTATAATCTAAAAATATTTTTTGGCTTTAAATAACGTGTGAAGGGTGGATAAACCTTAAAAAACGAATCAATCAATCAATCTTTCTCTGTTTCCATTTTGTTTTCTTTTTTCTTTTGTAATGTTCCATCATTTCTTTCTTTCTTTTCTTTATTCCTTTTCTTTCTCTTTTTCTTATAGTTTTCATTTTCTTTCTTTCATTTTTCATTTTCTATCTTTCTTTTTTCATAGTTTTCATTTTATTTTTTTCTTTCATTTTTCATTTTGTTTTTTCTTTCTTTTTTATAGTTTTCCTTTTATTTATTTATTTCTCATTTTTCATTTTTTTCTTCCTTCCTTCCTTCCTTCCTTTCTTCCTTCCTTTTTTAGAGATTTCATTTTATTTATTTCATTTTTCATTTTCTTTCTTCCTTTCTTTCTTCCTTCCTTTCTTTCTTCCTTCCTTTCTTTCTTCCTTTCTTTTTTATAGATTTCGTTTTATTTATTTCTTTTTTCACTTTTCATTTTCTTTCTTTCTTTCTTTCTTTCTTTCTTTCTTTTTTATAGTTTTCATTTTATTTCAATTTTCATTTTCTTTCTTTCTTTCTTTTTTAAAGTTTACCCCTTATTTATTTATTTCTCATTTTTCATTTTCTTTCTTTCTTTCTTTCTTTCTTTCTTTCTTTCTTTCTTTCTTTCTTTCTTTCTTACCCAATCACCATTCTTCTTCCTGTCATTTTTCACTCTCCTCCTCATTATCATTCAACTACGTATTTACTCCAACTTCTTTCCCCCAACCAATTCATTTTGTTCATCTTTCAACCAGCAACTCTATTGACTTTCTCTCCAAAATTCTCTATTCATTTCATTAACTCTCCCATTTATTTATCTTCTCTCCCTCACTCGTCCATTTGCCGATCAATCCATGTCTCTCTTTTCCTACTTTCCATTTGTCTTTTTACTTTTTCTTCTTCTTCTTCTTCTTCTTCTTCTTGCTCATCCCCCCCCAGAATTCTCTTCATCTGTTTATCTTCCAATTTGTTTGTCTGCTCACCAAACTTCCTTCACTGATCAATCTTCTCTGCAGATGGCCAAAGTTAAGCAATGGCAGAACCTGTTAATTAACTGCATATGTCACCAGTCAAGAATAGCAGACAAAAACAAAGATATTTTACATACAGAAAACTTTTCTAGAAATGGATCTGAAGACTATCTGGAAAACAATGTCACCGTCATGAATAGGTGTGTACATATATGTAAGCATAAATATATGTATATGCATATATACATACATACATTTATATTATTCTTATGATATAATATTTAAAGGATAAGGTTAAGTATAATTAGACAGTTTCTTTTTATAGCAGATTATAAAAGCAGATATATATATATATATATATAAACATATAATATAAATATATATATATATATATATATATATATATATATATATATATATTTATAAACACATATATATATATATATATATATATATATATATATAAAAAAAAGGCTTAAACACTAATATACCATGGTCATAATTTATTCCATTGGAATCGTAAATACGATCCAATTCATCAGACCTACGAATACAAAAAAAAAAAAATATATATATATATATATATATATATATATATATATATATATATATATATATATATAAAAAGAATCACATAGAGTTGAATTAGAGCAGGAAACAGTAGTATTAAAGAGTGCTCAATACATATATAAAAAGATAAAACTCTAACATGTAGAGCTTTTAAGTATAAAAAATTAGGAGATCAGCCGATTCCGCTACCTTCGTTTCAAACTTTTGGTATCTTCAGGCGATTCCAGTCAATTGATTTCCTAATGCTATATTTTTTTAAATGAAAAATTTATGAACGATATATTTTTTTTAAATTTATGAACATGATATCTTTTAAAAGTAAATAAATAATTAAATAAATAAGCGCACAACATGAGTTGTGGTAGCAAGTGAAGAGGACAAAAAGGCAGTTTTTAGTATGTATACAATGTATTATAATTTCCAAGCGCTGATATATAAATATATATATATATATATATATATATATATATATATATATATCATAAAAAGGCTTAAACACTAATATGCCATGGTCATAATTTATTCCATTGGAATTGTAAATATGATCCAATTCATCAGACCTACAAATTCAAAAAAAAACAGAAAAAACAACTCCGGGAATAAAAAATAAAATTTATTTCGATAAAATGTAGCATTCATGACAAGTGGGAAAAATTTAAATCTGCATGGCACTTTACTCCAGTTGGCTCATTTGCTTGCTTAAACTCAACGTTGATTCTGATTCCGCAGAACTGGGTTGGGTGTGAAAAAGTATTTGTTGTTAACATTCTTTTTTTCATTCGGTTTTTCCAGTTATGAGTCCGTTTTAAAGCTGATCGTTTTGTGTTCATTTTGTTTAGTTCTTTTTTCCTAACAGATTTAATGTTTAGTATAGAGCTTAGAAAAAATTCGCAGTGTGGGATAGGCAAGAAGTAAGGCATGTAGCAACATCAGCATGGCAAAGGGCACTCCTTTAAAGGCAAGGAAGGGCAAAAATATTTTAAGTCAAGTGATAGCGATTGCTGTATGAGTTGTACAATTTTTGAATCAAGCACGGGCAACACTGGGCCATGCTGCTAGTGTATATATATATATATATATATATATATATATATATATATATACAGTGTAAGAGAGTTGTCGGGACCGGAGAAGAAGTCTCTTATATCCGGGTTTCTCTTATATCCGGGTTTGGTCTATTTTATATACATTAACACAGGTTCTAATTTGGGACCAGAGAAAATCTCTCTTATATCCGGGTTTCTCTTATATCCGTGTTACACTGTATATATATATATATATATATATATATATATATATATATATATAATATATATATATATATATATATATATATATATATATATATATAGAATGTAGGAAGACTCCTGTTGAGGTGCAAGGATAAACTTAACAAAAAAACTAAATTCTAATGAGGAGGAATGTGTGTATAAAGGGTCTTACAACTTTTGGGAGATCATGCATTCAACATCTTTGTATATTTCAATATATATATATATATATATATATTATCAAACAAATGCACCTCAGAAAAGGATGTGGAAAGCAGAAATGGAGCTGCACATAGGGCATTTAGAAAACTAATTAAATGTGTTTTCAACAACAAAGATCTGAACTTAATTATGATCTATAAGTTGTCATTTACTATACAGTTGTAAAATCTGGACTTTATATTGTCACGATATTTAAATATAAGTACCCTTTCACCATCAAATATTTTGTTCAATCTTGAAATTCAAATGGAATGACTATGTGACCAACACCAAAGTCCTGGAAAGAGCCAACATTCAAAGCATCAAATTGTAGATCATTAAACACCGTCTTTGATGGTCAGGACATGTAGCAAGAATGGAAGAGTAAAGGTTACCACATCAAGTCTCATTCAGTGAACTCAGGGAAAAACTATGGGGTTACCCTCTTTGAAGATACAAGACCAACTCAAAATAACAATGAATATCACTGGACTTGAGTTGAAATTGTTTGAAACACATACCATCTGGGCCCTGTCAGCTGTGGCTGTAAAATACACCAACTGCACTTCTGAAGAGAAGTAAGCCCCCACCTCAGTGGGGTATCCTGCATATGATGATAAACTACATCTGCATCCTGGGTAAGACGATAAACTACGTCCAGTAGCAAGGCCTCTGATCAGGAGGTTTTGAGGAGCATGGAACCACTTCTTAATTGCTGGTGTTCCCAGGTCCACCATGATCCGAGGTGGTAGCACTTGTTAGGGTCCCAGCTATGGGCAAATAGTTAACCCTGAAACTGAGGGTCAAAACACTATGAAAGTCTAAAAATAGGTTTTAATATCAGAAATACTTTGTAAACAATTATCAGCAATAAATTTTTGAAGAAAAAAATTACCAACAATATGTTTTAAAAAAAAAAAAAATTTACCAGCAATACAGTTTTGAAAGAAAAGAATATTACCAAAAATAGATTTTTGTCAAACCAAAATATTACCAGCAATAAAAATTTTGTCGGCATTAAATAACCCATTGAGATTGATATGCCGTAAAACAAATCAAACCAAACCAAACCAAGCCATACCAACTGGTGATGTTCCATTACTATTGGAACCAAAAAGCCACCAGAAGAGAAAGGGAAGATGTCAAAAGACAAGAGACAAAGAATCAACAAAATCGACCTTTGTCCTCCACCAAAATTACTATGCAGTCAATGGCATCAGCTCTTCCATACAAGAATTGGTCTACTTAATCATCAACACAATCATCATCATAAAGAAATCGATCAGAAAAGAAGAAATTAAATTCTTGGACCTAAGATAAAGCCAATGACAATATATATAATGGCTAGCTACACTCACTTTCTGAGCACACACTTTGTCAGATATCTGCTCAGACATATTTGAGTTTTTTCAATGCCTACAGTGTCCCTCCTTCATGGTGTATACTGCAACTATGTTGAGTAGATATTTGTTACAATTTCTATGATTGAGCACATAATCTATCATGATTAACTGTTTGAACAATGCCAGTACGGTCAAACTCTTGATCACAATGACTTGTGACTTAGTGTCACCAAAAGCATTGATAGCTTCTGAATAATTTTGTCTACCCAATTTCACTTACAAGGCTTGGATTAATTTGTGATATAGCTTCTAGACACTCTTTCCAAAGGTGCCACATGATTGGATTGCCTCTCAAGAACAATAAAATCAATGTTGGGCATTACTGAATGAGGTGGGTGATATGAATGTAAGAGGTAGGACTTGGAGATTATGGTGATTAATTATGTGGTTAGATAAGAAATGACACTTAACTCGAAGAAGGTAAGATTACGGTGTTCAGGGATTAGTGGGAGAATGAAAATTAAATAATAAATAAAATAAATAATAAACAAAGATAAATAATTTAATTTTCCCATAATGCAAATGGAAAGCTAAGCTAAGCTTTACGTTCACATGCAAAATTTGTGATCCCCACTTCTGGAAAGGAGATCAGCTAGTCTGGATACTTTTGAATCATTGGATTCAGATGTGTTTTGCAGTGTTCCTAAGTAACGGAGATTCAGTCACCCTCTTTCAACGTCATGTTGGCTTGAAGTCAACCACTCTCTTACCTTTGAGTTTAGTACACACATGTGTGTGTCAATAAAAATTGACCCTTTATTTTCCAACCAAGTTTTTGTGTTATATATTGTGTCCAATAATATTACCATCTTCTGATACCAGACGAAAAACCAAATATCAACCCACCACAGATTACAAGGTTAGATAAGAAATGACCCTTACCTTGAAGAAGGTAAGATTATTGTGTTCAGGGAAGCATCTATGTGAGAATCTGTTCAACAAAAGTGGCACATCTTTGGAAAAATCTGTCTGAGCATAACTTTTATTTTACATTTCTAATATAAAGCAAATGAGGCAGATTTGACTTGTCATGGAATGTCCAAGCTGCAAAGGTCTGAACTGATGATGCTAAAGAATAGAGTTGATTTGAATATTTACCATGGAAGTAGTGATAGGCTTGCGACATTGCATCAGTGGGAAGAAGGCTGAAATGTGAAGAATAAGTCTTGTTCCGTAAGATTGTATAAACAGTTTTTAATTCTATCAAGGCTGGAAAGTGGGGACTGAACCACTCCTGACCAGTTATGGTCAAAATACTCCATAGAGATAACATGCTCATAAATAATTATCATACTGATGACAATATCAGAAAATATTTCATGCCAAATAGGGCCTAAAAACCCCATCAAAATATATATTTTTACATTGCTTTAAGGAATCTCTTCAAGAAGAAAAATAAATAGAAATCAGAAGATAATTTGACATTGTTAGAAAAGAAAATTTCCTACTAAGTATGGTATTTTTACAATATACAACAGGAAAAACATTGATAAGTAATTTAGTTACTTATCTGTTCATACAATCAGGTTAGAGAGAACATCTGTTCCTTTCTCAGGTGTTTGGTTCCAACAAGAAAATTCTTAAATTATAAATAGTGATAATATATATATATATATATATATATATATATATATATATATATATATATATACAGTAATCTATTTCTTTAAGATATTTAGTAAACTTAGCTAACTCTAGCACAAGGCCACACTATTGGGGGACACAGTGATAATTAAACTAACTATATTAGCAACTGGCTGGTCTGCGATTGTATAAAAACGTGCACATGCATACTCAGACCAAACTGTGGGGGTTCACTCACATCATAGCAGCAGAAATTAGCCTTTCATTCATGGGGACAAAAGCATAATTGACAGGAAATAAAACGTACAGAAATAACAGGAAAAGCATGGTAAATTGCATGTTAATTTTATACAATATCTGTTTATATTTCTGAGATGAGGTATTATGTACACTATTTACATTATTTGGACTATTGTCCTCATCTTTGTTGCCATATTTATTACAATGTTTTGGCCTTTCAGTATCTGTCTATATTTCTGAGATGAGGTATTATGTACACTATTTACATTATTTGGACTATTGTCTTCATCTTTGTTGCCATATTTATTACAATGTTTTGGCCTTTCAGTATCTGTCTATATTTCTGAGATGAGGTATTATGTACACTATTTACATTATTTGGACTATTGTCCTCATCTTTGTTGCCATATTTATTACAATGTTTCGGCCTTTCAGTATCTGTCTATATTTCTGAGATGAGGTATTATGTACACTATTTACATTATTTGGACTATTGTCCTCATCTTTGTTGCCATATTTATTACAATGTTTTGGCCTTTCAGTATCTGTCTATATTTCTGAGATGAGGTATTATGTACACTATTTACATTATTTGGACTATTGTCTTCATCTTTGTTGCCATATTTATTACAATGTTTTGGCCTTTCAGTATCTGTCTATATTTCTGAGATGAGGTATTATGTACACTATTTAGATTATTTGGACTATTGTCCTCATCTTTGTTGCCATATTTATTACAATGTTTCGGCCTTTCAGTATCTGTCTATATTTCTGAGATGAGGTATTATGTACACTATTTACATTATTTGGACTATTGTTTTCATTTTTGTTGCCATATTTATCACAACGTTTCAGCTGTTGTATGCTCCAGCCTTCTTCAGCTGGTTGGAATGTCGAACTGAGCCCTTTATTTCAGTTGCTGGGATAGACTTTTCTAGTTCCACATGCCATGTTTAATGGATGTCAGTTATCTCATGTTAATTCCCCTCTACAAGTTCTTGAGGAATCTTGGCACAGTGGATAAAGGCATTAGTTAGATCCAGTTACAGGACCAAAAGAGTGGGAGTTCAATACCTGGTTAAGGCAGTGTAGAACTTGGAGAGAGGAATTAACACTGAGTGTGAAGAACACTCCTTAGGTCTGCACACCTGGTGATGACAAGGTTGAGCTGGTGCCAGTGTCCAGAACGGGGGTATCCCCAAGAGACTTTGTGGCATTCTTTGCACTTGAAGTAGGTGTTTGTCACGCACAGTCCGGGGTGGCAGCACAGTTCCAGCAGCCACTGTCATTCTCATTCATCTTGCCGAGGCAGGAGGGCCAAGTGTCACAGTCAGCTCCCATTCTAGCATTGAAGTCTCCTAGTAGGTATAATCCTTCAGTATTGAGGTTCCTGGATATCATCTCATCCAGTGGCTCACAGAATTGGTCCCTGACCTCTGGGGTGGCGCAGAGTGTTGGCGCGTAGATGCAGAAGACGTTGGTGAAACCTGTAGATGTTGAGAGGCGCAGTGCTAAGATTGTCTCAGATCTGCCAGTTGGTGGTTCAATGGCTGGTATCAGTGAGTTCTTCACAGTGAAGCCTACGCTGTGTTGCCTTGGGTCATCCTGAGGCAGGCCCTGCCAGAAGAAGGTGTAGTTGGCCTCTCTGATGAGACTGCTGTCAGCCAGACGAGTCTCTTGCAGGCAGGCAATGACAGTGCCCAGTCTTGAGAGTTCTTTGTCCATGACCACAGTCTTTCGAGCATCGTTGCTCTGTTGGATGTCATCTGCGAGTCCAGAGTGCATGGTCCGGACGCTCCAGCTAGCAAATCGAAGAGCTGGAGTCTTCGTGTTTCTTTCTTTTATGCTTGGTGCAGGATTTACAGCTTGTTTGTCAGGAATATCAGTCCCTGAGCCCTACACACCCAGTAAAGCAGGCAAGCCGTGGCAGGACAGCACCTTAGTGGCTGGGGACTGCCCAGCTTGAGGCAAGTGGTAGCTGTCCAGTGTGATGCAATGATCTCTCCCAGCAACGGAGGTGACCTCAGGTGCCTATAGCCTATGCCAATCGGGTTGGGCTTTTGACTGGTAACTGTCACTTCCCTTGTTGTGCTGATGACTTGCGATGTCGCTAGAGTGTCCTCTCCAGTGTGCTATGAGCCTGGACGAGATGTATGGAGAACTAGAGCTGCACAGACGTCTAGTTCCTCCTCTCGGATTTGCAAGCAGTGAAACCAAATAAAGGATAAACCAATACAGTTTGGTACCAGCGTGGCTGCAGGAGTTGCCAGAAGGGAGCACAAAGTGCCATCCATCTGCCTTAGGGGCTCCACTCCAGATTTGTGCAGGGTTCACTCCTTGGCTTTTCCTTCTCCCGAAGATTTCCACAAGGCAGTGGAGCTATTTAACCCATAGCTGGGGTTTGGTTCATGGGCACCAGGGCATGTCCACACACCGGTGGACCTGCATGCCGCATGTTAATGGGGAAAAACTCCTCCCCCATCTCCTGTAGTTTAGCTCAAGTCCTCAAGGTGCTGGGTTTCCATGTGTTGACATGAGGAGGCACTAGATAGGGCTTGCTGATGGAGAGGCTATATACTGGCAGAGGAAGACTTACGCACTCAGCTCCCCTTTTCACATTTCTGCTAGCCAGCGGCGGTAACTGAAAGCAAGAAGTGACAAGCACTACCACTACAGACTACAACATTAGATATATCACAACAGCCATTGAGACACTTATCAGGGATAGTGTGTTTGTAAATACAGAAGTGGGTACTGAGTTCAACATCATGTGGCAAAATCTGTTTCATGCTTGAACACAATCTTTAAGCCTTATATATATATATATATATATATATATATATATATATGTATAATAAAGAAGTTAATGGTCAGAGTTAGAACAAGAAACAAGTATTAATGAGTGCTCAATACACATATAAAAAGATAAAATCTAACATGTAGAGCCTTTAAGTATAGAAATTTATGAATGTTATATTTTTTTCAAATTTATGAACACTATATCTTTTAAAAATAAATAAAGGAATAAGCACACAACATGAGGTGAGCTAGTAGTTGAGGAGGAGGAGGAGGAGGAAGAGGAGGGGAAAATGTATCATTGGGCATTAAATAAGATATACATATTTTCTTTACATCCTAACATATATGAACTCAAAAGGAAGATTTTAGTATGGATGCCATGGGTCATAATTTCTGATCACACACACACACACACACACACACACATCTTACTTATTACAAAACGCAGATTGTGTGTGTGTGTGTGTGTGTGTGTGTGTGTCTGTACGTTTATATATTGGATCGGATTTCCTACATTTTTCAACCGATTTCAACAAAACTTCACAGGACTATGTAAAATTACCTTTGCGTGGTTCTGACAGTGCCAAAAATTGGAAAAACACAATTGTTTTTGCACGAAATTAATTTGAAAACACGATTAAGAGGCATTAATGAAAGGGGGACAACTCCTATCGAGTTATACTTATTATAAAACCCAGGTTGTGTGTGTGTTTGTGTGTGTGTGTTCGTTTATATATGGGATCGAATTTCCTACATTTTTCAATCGATTTCAACAAAACTTCACTTTTTTTTGGCAGGTAGTGTTTCTTATTGTCTTGCACACTTTTTTCTTTATTTTTACATTCAGAATGCTTTAAAAATTCCATTTACAAGACAATTGTTTATAATAAAATTCTATTCAATCGGTAGACTCATAACGATTGAAAACAATGTTTTTGCTTGAGTTTGGGTTTGACCAATTTGTAAAAAAAAATAAACAAAGAAAAACAAAACAAAACAAAAAATAAAACTAATTAAGACATGCGTGTCCATCAACCTTAAACAATAATCTTTGTCAATTTTATTTTTCAGTCTTTATGATGGTCAATACTTGATCTATCTCTTACTGTTACATCCCCGGCAACGCCGGCTCTACTTCTAGTATATATATATATATAAATATATATATATATATATATATATATATATATATATATATATATATATAGATGTTTTGGATATTATTATACATTATATATAAATATATATATATATATATATATATATATATATATATATATATATATTAAGAAATGGGCAAAATCAAACAATTTATTTATTAAAGGCATTTTTATGTTTAACATTCTTTTTATAGATACAAGTATTTAAGTAAATGCTCTGTTTATAATAAACAGTGTTAAATAACATTTACCGGCCTGAATGTCCGAGAAATTTTCATTGAAAATATTCGTCCTTTGACAGCATTCAAACCTGCATCCTATACGGAACCGTCATTTACACTGACGTGCCTTATCGAACAGCCACAAAGAGCGTTCGGTAGACAAGGTATAAGCAGTAAATCGACCTTGTCTGCTCATCAACGCCTCCTTTGTGGCTTTCCAATCGTTAAAACGTCTTGTATCTATAAAAAAGAACGTTAAACATAAAATGTCTTTAATAAATATATATATATATATATATATGCACACACACACACACACACACATATATATATATATATATATATACACATATATATATATATATATATATATATATATATATATATATATATATATTTATTATGATTATAATTTAGGCTCTACTTTTGTATTGAGCACTGTTTTTTTAAAAAAAAAAAACAAAATACTAATGTACTTGAATTATTTACCTAACATGTTTATTTCCTATTTTTCCACATATTTGCACACACACACACACATATATATATATATATATATATATATATATATATATATATATGTGTGTGTGTGTGGGTATATATATATATATATATGTTTTGGATACTATTATACATCATATATATATATATATATATATATATATACATATTTGTGTGTGTTTTTAATATATAATAGTATCCAAAACAAAATGAAGTTGATGAGACAAAGTTGAAAAGTTATAAATGATATGTGTCACCAACATCTGTTGATTTTATCTTCTTTTAAAATGAAAAGCAAAACTGTATGTACGGAAAGTGCACTCAGATTTTTGAAGACAAGGCCAATAAAATTAAATTACCTCATCAGATTCACTAAACACATGTTCTTTCAGCAGCCACACTCTTGACCCAGAGCAGCACTACCTCATTAAGTCAGTTCATGTAGGCCTCCATGTTGAGCTTGAGGTCATGTGATCACACAAAATACCTTTGTAATCATGATTAGCCTCAAGAATCCTTTCACTCCAAGATGTTCATATTGGAGCCTCCAGCATGAATGCCAAGCAGTACAGCGTGCTCTTTTCAAAATTCTGAATTGCGTCACAGTACCCAACTGAATCTACTATACTAGGCAGTCGACAAAATCAAAAATGATCAACGCGCATGTGCAAAATTGAAAATATAAAATAGCGACAATTTACCTATCGCACCCTTTATACATACATACATACATATATATATATATATATATATATATATATATATATATATATATATATATTTATCTATGAAGGTATGTTGTGGTGCATCTCTGTGTTTATACGTGTGTGAAACTTCTCATTATATGTGTGAATATTTATGTTATCAAATATGTGCCGGTGTACAAGTGTTTATGTTATACCAAATATAAACGAAAATTAAAGAAATATTTGAAAGATATTTGACAAAAGGAATAAAAAGCAAATGCAAAATGTTCAAACAATTGTCTAATGACCTTTAAAGGTTGAAACTGAAGAAATGAAAACAAAATTCCACTGAGTTGTTTCTTTGCTATTTAGTCTCTGGGGTTTGAACCAAACTGTAGAAGGAGAAAAACATTCCACAGGAAATTCTTTGTTTACTGCATGTTCTTTTTGTTTTTTTTTCCCAGACTTTTCTTTTCTTTTTTCCCCAGCTAAGACCTTTTTGATACAAAAGATTCCTGCCATGCAGTAAAGCACATATATCAAACTTGATCCATTTCAACCACAAATATTTCTTCATTAATTATTCTTTCATGTTAATTACAATTGCTTTTCATCACAAATACACATACAATCAGTTTATGGGCATTTGCATAAAAATTTATTATCTTGAATTATTATTATTATTATTATTATTATTATTTGTGTATGCTATGTTTCCCGCTTCGTATCCTGTAGAGACGAGTCCAAACTATGGTCCTTAGGACCTATAGGAAAATTGTTATTTAATTGAAAGCATTTATCTTCGTATAAGGGATGTTCCTAGTAGGGTGATCTTCTGGGCAACTTATATGTTGATATTACCTGGAACACTGTTAGTAAAATTGTCCATTTCTTTTCTCATGAGGCCCAGAACTCCGAATACTATTGGTACAGTCTCAGTCTTCATTCTCCACAATTTGGAAAATTTCTTGATAATTTTCATAGAGGTATTTCTCTCAGATGGTATTGCTATATCAATAAGCATACACTTCCTGAATTTCTTGTCTTTTATGATAATATCAGGTCTGTTGGTTTTTATTTCCCTGTCAGTTTGAATTGGCATGTCCCAGAGGATAGTTAAATTGTCATTTTGGGTAACTGTGTCTGGTTGGGGCTTATATCATCTCTCAGTGGTTTTGATTTTATGCTTCTTGCATATCTTCCGGTGTACATATGTTGCTACCTTGTTATGTCTCTGGGTATATTCATTTTTTGCCAGTTCCATACATCCTTAGATAATATGGTCAACAGTTTCATCATATCTTCCTGAGATCCTGCATTTAATGTTACTTCCATCCTTGATTATGTGACAATGATAGGATCTGGTTGCAGGGTTTTTTCATGAGTTGCAGTAATTAGGCCTTCTCTTTCAGTTTTTA